TTGGTTCTCAAGATCTCCCCTGAACATTACAGGATTTCACTTTTCGTGGGAACCATAACATAAAAAAAATACGGAGGATACATATAATGATAAAGATGGAAAGCCCTGATTTCGAGTGACAATGAAAATGGAAAAACTCCACCGCCTCGTGTGAGAGTCGAACTCACAACCTCTGGGTTACATGCCCAAAACTGTGCCAATTGAGCCAACGGGAGCAAAGTCGTATCTGTCCGAAAAGTTTCAAGACAGATACGACTTCGCTATCAAAATAACCATTTTTTATATTGAAAACGGGAGCAGATTCGGTCCCGGAACGCCCAAAGATGAGTCACTGACAAGCTAGTGAATTTTTTTGAGGCTCTTTGATAGGAACATTCTTTGAACGCAGTGACATTTTGGGGCAAATCATCTGATTAGTCGTTACTACACGTATAATGAAATAATATTCACATTTTTATTTTATAGAAACAAGGAGTCAAAATCCAAAGAAATTTGGAATAATGAATACACGGTATTGTTGGAGTATTTTGATCAATTTATTTCAGTTTAACAACATCAGTTCAGAAGAATTTGAACAGTAATTAATTGGTCTCTTCCTTTTGTCTGGGTGAAGTGCAATTTTTTTCAGTTTGTCAGCATCATGTCAGTATCTATACGACATCATGTTTATGAGAACCTATTTTTATGAAATTCACAAGGGATCTTTCAAAATTTCAACTAAATTCTTATGGAACACCATATATGATATGTTCCGAATAGTCGATAAAATCAATGGGCACATCAGAATCGATAATATGACCTAGATATTGGAATTCATTGGCCTCTAGCCTTATCTCTTAATCTTAGAGTACAAAAAATTAGTTTAAATACGATAGGTGCTGATAACCGAATCTGAATCGTGAAGGTATAATTCGAGTTCGTTTCTGCTAAGCCACAATTGAAGGTTATGCAGATCCTAAAATGCTTCATTTTCGCTATACAGGGAGTTGAAGTTTGAAAATATTTCTTTCATTGGCATCCTGAAAGTAACTATTCGAATTTTTCTAGCACTTGAGAGTTTATCGTCTTTTGCAATGGAGAAGAAACATATTTTGAGGTCTTGTTTATTCGAGTAGCGTCCAGCGAAGAAACATCATCGATATTCTCAATAGTATAGGTAGGAAGGTTCCATGTGAGTAGAGCATATACCACCGCCCATTCACGGCCACCTCAGATGGGTCTATTGTGGCACACCCCTATAGGTAGAAGTACAATCTTCTGGAGGATCAGAACAAACCCAACAACTTTAATATTTGAAGGTTTTCTCTATCTTCAATGATGAACCCTGTAGAAGCTGTTCGGATATACGAAATGACCCTGTATCCCACTTTCGTTTTCCGAATGAATGAATTGAATGGGTGGTACTGATAGAAGCTTGTAGTACAATATCATGCGAATATTCGATAATTTCAATACGATCAACAATGATGCTTTATTGCTTTGAGAAAAATCCCCGAAAATCCTTGATGATAATAATAATCCACCGATTCATCAAATCATTCAAGCTTGAAATCTGAGAATGTTATCAGTTTTTTTGTTTCGAGTGGAAGATTATCATCAACACGTGTATAATTTCAATTTTCTTGTTTTGTTCCAATAATCAATTTATTACATGATATTCATATTATCACACTGGTCCATCAGATATAATCTTCCGACAGGAGCGAAATATTCTCGGGAATATTGACGCTTTGCCACAAACTTTAATCAGTTTGAATCGCAGCACGTTTGGATATTCGCAAAAGGTACATCATCCCCTTTCATTTGCTTTTTGATTCAACTCATTATCGCATGACGAAGGTATGTTCGGAATATTGGCAGAAAATAAAACAGGTATGATTCCATATCATTGGTTTGGGAGATAATCTTGTACTTGCTTAGATCCAAGGTTTCATTTCACTTTCCGTCAAGCAGATGAAACCAAATTGAATTAATAGAACAGTTTTGGCGCAACTGTCACAGTCCAAATGATTGATGTAAACCGCCTCAAAACCAATAAACTTCTCTCAGTATTACCTGATAGTTGAGATTGATTAGAAAAACAGAGGTTGATAAGAAAATACTCTTTATTGTTTCATTTTGTATGTATTACCTGTTAGTTGTGACTGGTTAGAAAAAAAGAGGGTGATTAGAAAATACACTTTATTGTTTCATTCTGAATGAGATCTCTAGTTTCATGTATTACTTATATTTACAAACATTCTTATGCACTATATTTGACTATACATTAAATGCGACTCGGAATCTGTTCAATGAATTCATTTTATGAAAGTCAAATCATGTGCTTTGTCATGTTGCTCAGAATAGGCATAGAAAAATACAGCAGATTGCAGGAGAAGATTTGGCCGATATTATGTACTCACTGGCAAAAAAACTAGCCAGCAGAAAAATATGCTGAATTAATCGTTCTGTAACTTTTTGAATTATTTTCTGATTCTGGTGAAATTTTGACAAAATGGTTGATTTTTGTAACGGATTGTTATGATGGTTTTCAGTTCTCGAAAAAAACTGATGGCTTGATCCTTATACAGAAAAAAAAAATAGAAGACAAAACTTTCACCCTTAACTTCTTATTAACGCTCTGTGTCGAAGATGAGTGGTTAAACTCAACTTCATTATGTTTTGAAATGATTCACGTCAAAATATTCTTCTTAAGAAGATACAAGTGCTATAAGAAACCAACCAACCTTCTGCATCATCATGTTTTGGATCTCTTTGCATCTTTTCTCAACACATCGGTTTTTATTTCACGTCAATAACTTCATCTCAGAGAAGATACAAGTTGGTATTTCAAGAGAGTGAGGAATTGGGGCCATTCCTCAAGAAATTTGATCTCGATGCCACGGCAAATGAACGCTGTAATTCAAGCTCGAGGATAGCATTATCCTACGACCACCTATGGAAACAGCACAAAACACATTGATTTGTTATTGAGAAAGTGACTCGTTTTACTATGACAACATATAACAGTTAGAAAGTTCGGAAGTAAAACTCACATGGGTCGAAATATTCGAAAATCGCACAGTAGCAGGGTCTATAGATTATGATGTACCAATGAATGATTATTATGCTGAATGATGGTAAGTTAAGTTATGGTCAAGTTAATGGAAAGTTAGTGTCGATTCAACGTGAGTTATTGTCGTTGATGTTGACGTAATGTCAAGTTGATGGAAAGTTGGAATCAAGTTAATTTTAATTGAAAGTTGAATTAATGTCAATGTATTGGCAATTTAGTGATTAATGTGACGTTAATGTCAATTTGATATTGAGTTGATGTTGATTTGATTTTGAGGTAATGTCAAGTTGATTCTGAGTTAATGTTTAGTTAATGTTGAATAATTATTGAGTTAATGTTAAGTTGATGTCGAGTCAATGTAAGGTTAATTTTAAGGTAATGTTGAGTTGATGTCGAGTTAATGTTATGTTGATTCTAAGTTAATGTTGAGAAACTGTTAAATTTAAGTTGATGTTAGGTATATGTTGAGTTAATGTTAAGTTCAAATGAAGGTAGGTAATGTTAAGTTAATGTTGAACTAATGAATTCAAATATGGAAGTGAAATAAAATAATAATGATAATGTGATCGAATATGATTAGAAACATGATCCCTACTCTGGTCTCATAAACACTCATGACATATAATATAAATATTTGTGGTCGTAGGAAAAATAGTGTACAAAACTCGTTGGAAAGTGCATTTCCTGCGCTCGTTTCGTTTCCGCATTTCCGTGCTAAACGTCCACTCGCGCGAAATATGTCACTTTCCACACTAGTTATGTAATATACAATTTCGTTGTCGACTACATCTAGGAGATCTGATTGCTATTTGTTTCTAGTAACTCAGATTCACCTTTGCTGGTGAGTGATAAGAACACGGAGGAAAAATAAGTGATAACAATCCTCAAGTTCATGTAGGTTCTGAAAATCAAGTAATCCATACTTTCTCAAAGTACATGTTTCTCTTCTTGATAAGAAAATATTCACCTGAACCAAAAACCATTGTGTGAATATAAAACATGATGAAGCTAAGTTCAATCACTTACTTTTGCCACAGGCCGTTAAGAGGTTAAGCGTAATGTAGTAACTTTTGTGTTTACCTATTTGATAATCAATCCATCATATTTCTCTGTCAACATTTCGAAATAATTATCTACGATTCAGTCGAAATTCCACAAAAATTGGACAAGAATTGAGAGAGGAAGATACATTTGGCTACATTTTTTGCTGTCCGGTATTTTTTGCCTGTGAGTGTATAATACAAACTACACAACCTAATCCAGTTATCTCATAATCTGGGCTTCGCACGAGCTTTGAAGGGTCTAGGTCCAGGTGTGACTCCATCTGACCATTCGGTGGTCGGAGGATGTTCAGGTACTATGCTGAAGGTGAACTTTTGCATCATGGTTGCGACGAAGAGGAAAATGTTCGCCCTAGCCAACGACTCTCCCAGGCATCTGTGTTTGCCCAAGCCAAAGGGCAGGAAGCCATCAGGCAGGGATATTTTTCCGTCCTTCAAGAACCGCTCGGGTCTGAATTTTTCCGGTTCATCAAAGCCGCAACCTTCTTGCAACATGGAGCCATATAAGTTTCCAACCACCAGAACGTCCTGAAACATATGAATCTCATCATGGTAAGTAATACTGGTGTAGACGCCAAGACACGGGAGGGTAAGAGACAACTGAGAAGCAGACAACATTATGGTGGAAACGTGATCAGATTTAGCATTCATTGGCCCAAGTGGACTAAACAATCACATCACCCATATTGAAGTCACGGGAAAGGTCATCCAGTCTGATCGCTGATATCCTGAAGTTGAATAGGACCCAGCTTAGGTTAGGTTAGGTTAACACGGTGGTCTGGGGTAGAACCCTCGTAGGCCAGGGGCCCATTGTGATGCCGTAAGGGATGGTTACCACCCCCACCACCATCGTGAGAGCTAGTAGCTGCTGCTAATGAACAGCATCAGGCTTTTGATCCCAACCGACTGAAGATCGGATTGGTTGTCAAAATAGGGCTGCCCAAGAACAGAAGATCTTTTCCTGGATAGGGCAGGTTAGGTTGGAAATGGATTACTCTCAGGCTACTGCTCTCCAAGGAATTCGGTATCTTTTTGAATGAATCAATATGCAGATTTCTCAATAAGGATGAGTAAACAGCCTCTAACAAACCAAGTCTGAAGGACACGCTCACGAAACGTGGAAGAGCTATATGCAGGGACAACACAGTGATCCTTATCTGAGTGCCAGGATTCGTTAGAGAGGAGTGAATAGAAGTAACCACACAGTCCCCAGACTGATTAGGTTGAAGTTATGAGAAGCTGCTCATGAACAAGGAATTTCTGGGAAAGCAGATAGCAAGGTACAAAAGATATAACAAGTCGCAGTACATTCGTTACTACCCATCGCCCTTTGTACTCTCACCTTAGGTATGTGATATCCTGATAAAGAAGTATCCCTCAGAGCTCTGTGAGGAACAGTGAAGGCTCGTCCTCCGAACATCCGTAGAGATTCCATCACCACGCATTCAACGTAAGGTAAACTGGAACAAATCAAAATATCTATTATATTCGAAATAATATGTCTGGACACTGGGAAACTGACTTCAACTACCAAGACCTATGACTTCTCCATTGGTACTCACTTAGGTCTGTCATCCAATGATGGCATTCTATCCTTCCCCACCACAGCATCGACTTCCTTTTGAGCTTTCACCTGCACCTCCGGATTCAGAATCAAATACAGAAAGCAAAAGCTTAACGTGTTGCTGGTGGTTTCCGAACCAGCCATGAACATGTCCATGCATGTGGCCAATAGCTGGTCTTCGCTGAAGCTCTCTGGATGCGTATCGGAAGACTCAAGGACGTTCAGGTATACGTCCATAACGTCCCTGGGAGCTTCTGGCTTACGGGTTCTCTTGTGCCGTTCGATCTCCTTGTGGAGGAAGTCCCAGATGCGCTTGTGAGAGTTGGTGTACAGCTTGAATCCTGACATCTCTGGCGCCAGATACCTTATGTAGATGAAAGCAGAAATTATTTTCGATGAATTTACATCATGCAAAATAGCTCAGTTAAACGGTCACGATGAAGATCATCTCGTTTAAAAGATTCAAGTAGTCGGTTCCTCTGCGGTTTCATGTTATGTTGAGAATGCTGAATCTGAATCTACAGTTCGCAAACATGTGAAATATTCGCGAAAAATAGCGAACTTTTCGAAATTTTCTCAGTTTTTCCCGTTATACAGAAATTACACATTTCATCGAAAAGACCACTTCATAAAAAGTTGAAGTGAATACAATCTTCTATATTTGATTGCTCTTGCTCATGAATGTGAGACCAACAAGTGAGGAGCTAGAGCAAGTTAAAAATTGACCAAATTTGCGTATTCTGGAAAATAAGTACTCTATCGTATTTCGGAACAAATTTGATACTGCGATTCCAGAGGTGTGCAGTACTAATATGTCATTCGTTATTCTGATCACAATTCCAGATGATATTTTTTTCACCCAACTTACAGTGGCTGTAGCTCGCATAGGGTTCATTTTTGGACACATGTTCATATATAGAAATAGTCATATTTTGATCCCAATTCACCCTCAGAATTTCCACATCGAATTTCGAATCAGTTTGTATATTAGTAATGCTACAATAATTGAGGTTGGAGTATCAGAAGATTCTCAGTAACAACTACGAAATAGCCACATTGCTCAAAGTGGAATGAAATGTTAAATAAATACAAAAAGCTCAAAGACATTTGCACACAATGTTCATGAAATGAACAACAATGGTAGATTTCGGGAGAAAAACAACTACTTCCCTGGCTAGTGCCACGCAGAACATTGAATTACATCTTTTCTAGTCACATGGCGTTGCTTTCATATTGTCTATGGAGGACGGAAATATAATGCCGACTTGATTTTTGTGTGGCTAGGCTACGCTTAGTCGGCGGTCTCAGGACTGCTGGATGGAGACTGACCTGTACTGATGAGAGTCGAAAAGCTCGAAAGCGGTCTGTAGGTGTCTAGAGTGGTCTGGTTTAATCGAAATCAATAGGCATTCAGGAAAGAATCTCTTGTATTAGTATGCGTTTACACGAGTCGATGCATAGATTTCGGGAAGATGTGTAGTTCCATGTTCTGCGTGGCATCAGCCAGGAAAGTAGTTGTTTTTCTCCCGAAATCTACCATTGTTTTTCATTTCATGAACATTGTATGGAAATGAAAACTTTTTGTATTTATACAGTGTGTCCCACCACAGTGTCGGTTAGATGACACCAAATGTGGAGTTTGTCAAGGCCAACTATAATGTGAAAAAATATTTTGATAAAATCTATTCGTTTTTGTTTTATACGCAAAAAACAGATTTTGATCATTTTCATGTGTCCTCCGTAACTTCTTTATTTATGAAAATATTCAAATAGGAATTTCACGTTCTCATGGCAGTTTTTCAAAGTGATTTCGAAAAAAATATGAAATTTATACCAACTCTTCTAGAATTTGAGATATCAGCACCAACTTTAGTTTTTTGAATGTAGGTCATAGCTCACTATGACTTAGTTACAAATAACTTTTTTTTCTCTTACAGATGATATGTCGCAGTAATAGTTTTGTGTTGATAGCAACGGACTTATCGTCATTTATACAAAAACAAATCATTATTTGGAAGCCGCCATCTTGAATTTATGAATTTTATATAAAAAAAACTTAATCTTCGACTTCGAAAACCCCCCCTTACCAATTTTGAATGGAATCGAACCAAATCTTGTCCGCCATCTTGAAGCAGCCATTTTTTTTAATTTCAACAAAAATTCCATAACTCCGATTAACTTGAAATCTGGCAGGTGTTCATTATTTCGTTGACAATACATTATCGAATTTCTGTTGAAATAAAAAAAAATGACTGCTCCAAGATGGCGGACAAGATTTGGTCCGATTCCATTCAAAATTGGTAAGTGGGGGTTTTTGAGGTCAGAGATCATGATTTTTTTGTTAAAATTCATAAATTCAAGATGGCGGCATCCAAATAATTTTTTTGTTTTTGTATAAATGACGATAATTCCGTTGTTATCAACACAAAGCTATTACTGCGACATATCATCTGTGAAAGAAAAAAAGTAATTTGTAACTAAGTCATAGTGAGCTATAACCTACATTTGAAAAACTAAAGTTGGTGCTGATATCTCAAATTCTAGAAAAGTTGGTATTAATTTCATATTTTTTCCGAAATCACTTTGAAAAACTGCCACGAGAATGTAAAATTCCTATTTGAATATTTTCATAAATAAAGAAGTTACGGAGGAGACATGAAAATGATCAAAATCTGTTTTTTGCGTATAAAACAAAAACGAATAGATTTTATCGAAATAATTTTTCACATTATAATTGGCCTTGACAAACTCCACATTTGGTGTCATATAACCGACCTCGTATCTCTCACCGTTGAAAAGATACCCATGGTGAGCATGGTAAGTGGGACACACTGTATATTGATTCTAAATATGTTCAAATCGCTATATGATGTAACCTTCTGACAAGTTGTTATAGCCATTCACCAGAGATTCACGGCTTGACTTGATATTCAAGCTACTTGACTTGACTTGAAATCAAGTCATGTTCAAGTCAAGCGAAAGTTTTTTAATGTCAAGTCAAGTCAAGTAATTATTGATCAAGTACTTGAAAAATCAAGTAGTTCTATCAAGCTACTTGATTTTCAGCAGTTTTATTGTGTATCTATACAGCGTGACTCACGGTCGATGTTATAGTAGACGTTTATGGAGAACGCGACGCGGGATTTTTCTGAAAATTTCGCATACACAAAAAATTCCTGAAGTTGAAAAATCTCGATTTTTCGCACTCTATATCTCCATAATCACTTCCGCTATACCCCGAGTGTGATGTATCGATGAAATCAAGTCTTCAAGGAGAATCTGAAAATGCAATAAAATACAGGGTGTTCAATTCGAAATAACAAAGTGGTTCCTACTTTTCTGTAGAACCGGCAACGTCGTGATTTTGAAAATATATTAGATCGATAGTACCGGTGATGAAATGTGAAATGCGAAATTTTCAAAAAAATCCTGCGTTGCGTTCCTATCATAAACGTGAACGTCTAACCTACCATCGACCGTGAGTCACCCTGTATATAACTGAGGAAATGAAAATGGCATCGTGAGACTGACTGCGCGATCGATTCAGTCAGCTCGGATCTCGGGGAACCCCCTTTTTTGTCTAAGCGTGAGCGAGCTTGCAGAAATATACGCCGTGCGACTCGTGCGTATCAAGATCAAGTAATATCAAGTAGCTTGATTTCAAGTCAAGTAATAAATATCTCAAATTCAAGTCAAGTCAAGTACGTAATTTGTCACGAGCTTGATTTTCAAGTCAAGTCAAGTAGTTTGTTAAAATATCAAGCTACTTGACTTGATGAATCTCTGCCATTCACTGACTTTCTCCGTTAGTTTTTGTTAGTCTAGAATACTACCTCAGAATCGGGAAGTGACTGAAAGTGGTGCCAACCATGGAGATGGACCTGAAGAGCTCGTTCAAGATCCCTTGCAGCTCTCGCATCCTGTTGTCTTCAGCACCATATCTGACACCAGCCAGCATCCTCCACAGGCTGTTCAGGATGTGGACGTTGAACAGGGTGGGCACGTTGAATACCGCTGAATCGTTGTGGTGTATGGTTTTGTAGATGTGTTCTACTAGTTCCTGAGCTTCGTCTTCCACCATCGTTGACATGCTCTTGGTACCGAATCCGAATTCCCTGAGCTGCTTGAGGAAGAATCGACGTTGGTCTTGCCAGAATTTCTCGTCCACTAGTAGAAGACCTGGAAAGAATTAACGTACCTACGTTTGAAAAATGTGTTTTTTTTACAAGCGTGCGTGATTCACCCTTTACCCGCACGCATATATAAATTAAGAAATATTGAAAAATAATAATTGATTGTTATATAAATCCCCCTATAGCCTTCAATTGATTTGATGTGGAGATTAATTGTCATGTCGATCAAAACACAAAGTAGTTAGTGTAATTCTCAGAGTGATAGACATAGCGTTACTGTCATTTTCGATTCAATGGAATTGCGATGAAAAACTCCCAGCTACAGATGCGATATAGATAAGTTATTGCCAACGAAGTCTTAAGAAAGGTATGAGAAGCACTACACGGGATTTATTGGATGGTGAAATAGTAAAAAAGTGAAAACACCAAATGGAGGAGAAGTATTTTCGGCTTATTTCCTAGAAATGTCTGAAATCTAGAGGCCAAACACCATGGGCATGCTGGCTCCCGCAATAAGTTTACCTACATAATGCTTCAAACGGTACACACAATAGATATATCACTAATTATCAGAAGATACAGGATATATAACTATTGTTAGTTGTTCCTTTTTGCAGGAATGATTGATTGAATGAATCATTCAATTTCCTACGCTTGTATAAAAAATATTGTTCTTAAATCATGCGGGAAGTGTCTTTCTCACACTCGACTCCTTGCCCGAATTCCGCTTTGCATCGTTCGGGTCAACGGCATTCGCGTGCCGGAAAATATCACTTTCCACATTTGTTAGGAAGATTACCATCAACTAATTGGGTGACGAATTGCAAGGTTTATTATCCGGTTTGATCATCGGATGAATGTAAATATTATTTAATGCAAATAATAATTCGTAGGAAAACGAAAAATTTTAACTTAAAGGATGATATACCTACAGGAACCAATTTCTGACATATTTCAACATGTTCCATGTAAGTTGAATGATGGAATAGTACATTGTAAACCTAGGGAATGAAGTGGAATTTTGAATCCCTAGACAAATAGCCGGACCAACGGGAGGGCTGAATAAATGAATATTAATCAAACAGACCACGCCGATTTATAGAAGTTGATCGCGATGGACAAATCGAAAAGGCAGCTCAAGAAGCTGAAGGTCAATTATTACCAAGAAAATCTGGAGAACAATATCAAAAACAGTTATGTGAGTTCATCAAATTG